TAGTTGCCAATTTGTGTAAACTCAACACCAAATTTGTATCAGAGTCAGCTTTATTACTACCACTTGGTAGATCGTTGTTAACACTTTCTGAAGGCGAACCTTCATACTTAATTTGTCCTAAATTTGCGTTTGGATTAGCCATATCTAGTAGAGGTTGGATAATCTCACTAGAAAATACATTATTCCGTTGCCAAGGTTCAATACCCGCACAATCTTTGGCTATTGTAGAGAGAATAGAAAGAATAATCATTAAAACCTAATAAGCACTTTGCCTAATTTGGTAAATTATACAAATAACTGAAATCGATGGGTATTGATGAGAGATAAAGATATTTCTCACAGAAATTTCAATGATATCGAATCTCGATCTGCATAAATTTGACCAATTTAACAGAATCGAAGATGAATCTTGAAAATTAAGATTAAAGGTAATGTATATGTGTAATACCTTGTCTTCTTGTGGACAAGTTAAAAAAAGGTTTTGAAATGTTTGGTTAAAATTTCTAGTAAATCTTGGGCCGAAAACATCTTTCTCAGCTCCAAATTGGTGCCTTGATTGGCGGACAATTGAGTCGATCACATATAAACCGGGTATTTTGTATTCCGGTCGACACTGGATTGAGATATTCCAATTTCCAACAGGATGAAACAATTTTTTTTTCGCAAAATCGAAAGATAACAAGTGATAAAAGTAGAAAAAATTTCCACACGAAGACATGAAAAAGAGAAAATTTCAGTTAGTTGATAAATAATACAAACGAATGACCATGAATTAAATTCTTCATACCTTTGCTATGAATCTTTCGACGCTTTGAACAATGTGTTTATACATTTTAATCCCTTTAATGGCAACTTTTGTAATTTGGCTCATCTTTGCCTTAGAGATGGGAGGTTTAACCTCATAGAGCGATGAGAGCTAGAATGGTAGAGAGGAAAAAGGTAAATGAAAATAAGAAGAAGAAAAAAGAAAAACAATAAACATGAGTAACATAGAATTGATTGTGATTGAACAATAAACACAAAAAATTAGTCGAATCGAGGCTTGACAAGCAAAGAATAATCTTTTAACCAGATGACAATCATGATAAAGAGATAAATAGATGGATAGATGAGAGTGAAAGAGAAACAGAGAAAGAGCGAGAGAGAGAGAAGTATGTAGGAAAAGAACAGAGTATCACGCAGCTAACTTTCTTGTGACAGTTGAAAGATCAACATTCCCAAGAACAAGGTAGAAAAATGTTCCAAAGAAGAACAAATAATCTGAATAAAATAAAGCAAATGAATGCTGAAATCCACCAGTGAGTAATAAAGATGAAAATGAAACAAAGTCACCCAAGTAAAAGGCAAGAAAACACACCAGCCAAAAATAAGACTACACATTATGTTTACCTCTGCATTAAAAGCTTGAACCAATTCCATGTTAACATAAAAATCAATGGTCAGGTTAAATTAATTGAAATGATCAGAGAATGATTATAATTACAGTTGACTGACAATTAAATAAGAAGAAAAAAAAAGATGATTATTTAATTAATAAGAACATTTTTGTCAACAAAATCAATTCAAAAATTTGTACATGGAAAAAAACACACAAGACAGAAGGAGAAAGAGAGAGAAAATGAGTAATGGAAAGAGAGAGAGAGAAAAGGGAGAGGAAAAAGGGATGGAGACTAAGGGAGAATAGAAGAAACTGGAAGAGGGAGCGTAGAATAAGAAAATCGATGGATCGGGAGCAGCAAAATGGCGGAATTGAATGGGGACTATTAATCCATTACCATGGAGAGACAATTTGATTTAATTGCTTTTCTTTTTCGATTAATTAACAATAATTTAATTTTCTCAACAATTTAGAAGAGTTTTTTAGTACAATTAATCGAATTTGTTAGTGAAACATTTTCTCTTTCATTTCCAATGTGTTTCTAAAGTGTTTCCAGCCAACGCCATAGAGAAACACTAAGCCGGTTTATTCCTTGTGGTCTCTTTATTTACTATTTTCTTAGTTTTTGTTTTCTTCAACCGGTTAATTATTTTGGTCTTTGGTTGATTATTTAAATTCATCTTATTGAAAATCTATTTTTCTATGAGGCTTTCTTGAGTTTTTCCATTGGAATTAGTTGTTTGTTGAATGGTTTCTCATCTAACCAATTCAAGATGCTCTTGAATTATGTGCATCCAAATCCAACTCTTGATTATGGTGAACCATTATCTTGGTTTAATTGTTATGGTACTTCTAAAGGTTCAGATGTCCTTCGTTTTGGGCTCAATTGTTCCGATTTTTTTACCTGAAGGAATCAAATAAACTGCTCATTACAATGGACCTAAATGATTTTTGAAGATTAATCTCAAATTGAGATTCGCAATTTACTTCAAACTTCAACTCGTTTCCAAATTGAACTAATTTTAATAGTTTGCCAAGTTAATGCTACAATTTAAATGTACTATTAATATTATTCAAAACAATTGGTTAGTTTAATTTAGCAAATTTTAATGTTCTTGCTTTTTTAGCGACAAATTTCTGTTTTACTATTTATTGTTTTTTTTATCAACAGTTCGTCAAAAAATCAATGAATTGGCCTTAAATCAAGTTAAGGAAATATCAATGGAAAGGAATACCATCTACATTAATGGTGAATAAATAAATTTTCGGGACTCAGTAAGGACAAATACATCATTCGTATAGCAATTGTTGGTGAATTAATTGTCTTTGGAAAAGGCGACTATACCTCAGCTCTTAAATCTTCCGCATCACAATATCGTTACCTGGCATCACCTGATGTCTGGGGAGCTTCAGCTCGTTTCACAACCTGGAATCCAGCCAAGGGAATGTACGAAGCCGAAATCGTATCACCAGTCGATGTAGGAACCGTTAAGTCATCGATTCGATCATCCCAACAATCTTTAACCGATGTTAATGATTCACTTAATGGATTGAAGCTTTTTGATGGTTATGAGACAACGAAGAGCATAGAAATTATTGCTAATTTTTCATCGATAGTGATTGTACAGATAGTCTATCAATATAACGTATAGTTGAATCAATGGAGTCTCCAATGAATAAAGACAAAAAAGGAATATGTATCTCTTTAGATAATAGCTATGGTGCCTTCTATCCAATGGCCATTCCACCGGACATCGGAGAAACTTTGATTCACTGGACTAATTCGTCGATCAATGTTAATTGGATAAAAGATATGTGAGACTAGTTATTGAATAAAGATATGTTGCTATTTAATTGAAAATGTTTATCCTGGGAACATTTAGATTACAGAGATCATGTTAATGATACTTTTGTAAAAGACAATGAAGAGGCTTGGAAATCGGAATAAATAAAATGTACATTAAGCTCCTAATAGAAGAAGGAGATTGACAATGATTAGAGTTTCGAAGGGGAAGACAGATTGTTACGAAAGGAACTTAATTTTTGGCCCAATTGTCGTGTTTGTTTCCTTGTTTCCATGAATCTTTATTATTCCAAGAATCTTTGTTATTCCATGAATCGTGATTCTGTCCGTGGTATGGACCATGTTGGTATTGGTTTTGATATTGGTTTCGGTGTTGGTTGTAATTGTTGTATTGGTTTGGGTATTGGTTTCCATTGTTCCATGAGCCAACATGATGACGACCATCATGATTGTAATGGTTTCCCTTGTTTCCTGAGATAATATTAGTGTAACTGTGACCAGAAGGATCAGCACCATTGTAAATGGCATCAGCAGAGTCGATTGAGTCAACAGATGGTTCGTTTGAGTCAATTTAACTCGGAATCCACTTTTATCGGCAATATAGTTAACAGTTCGGTGACGACCATCGGCAGTTTAAGTCCATATGAACCGTGGACATTACCCCAACCATCACCAGATTCTTGTCGGTAGTTGGATGATCCCCAAGGATCATTGATATCATAACAAAATTGTATTTTCCACTCACATCTTGGTTTCGATAAATTTTACTCTGACCTCCGTCACCGTGATTTGTAGCACTAATTGTTGTAGAAAGAGCAACAAGAGCAAAGAAAGAATAACAACCAATTGATTCATTTTGTAATAGAAAAGTTTTAAATGTTTTCGTTTAGTTGTTGTTGTTGTTGTTGTTGTTTTCGTTATTGGTTTGGACAGTTGAATGATAATTTCTCGAAAATCCTTTCGTTTTATATAGTAGACGAAAAGTGAAAAATATCAATTTGAGAATATCTAAAATACTAATCGAGTGAGAATAAGGAATGAGTAGGACATAAAATAAACGGTAGTTAAGATAAGATCGAGTAGAAAAATCGGAAAAAGTTCATCTTGATAATTTTCTAATGATTCGAAAACTTGTACCAAGCAACCAAGGTTCAATTCTACTGAATTTGTGCATAAACATTTGAGCCAAATAAAAATAACTTTTTTCTAGTTAATTTGTTGATATTAACAATTTGAATAAAATAAAATTTCTTAATCAATTAGTTTTGTTACAATTCTAATTTCAATTTGGCTCAAATGTTCATCTCCACTCTTGTGGATCCACTCCAGCTAAATTTATCAGAGTATAGTTGACAGAGTTAATTCAGATGAATTCTGGTCCTTTGACCCTTATTTAGCCTTTAACTTTTATTCACTTGACCAAATAAAAAAATTCTTATTCCTGGCTTAAATTAATATTAATAGATGTTTAGAACCTTTACCAACAAGATAATCGCACTAGCGGGATAAGTATAAATATCAAAAATTAATAATTGTGATTCCTCTGCATAAATTGAACTTTCACGAAAACGATAAATTTTGATGTTGATTTTTGGCCATACGGGAAAAGAATTTGCTACCAAATCAACTCACTCTTACATTGAAAATTATCAAGATGAACTTTTTCCGATTTTTCTACTCGATCTTATCTTAACTACCGTTTATTTTATGTCCTACTCATTCCTTATTCTCACTCGATTAGTATTTTAGATATTCTCAAATTGATATTTTTCACTTTTCGTCTACTATATAAAACGAAAGGATTTTCGAGAAATTATCATTCAACTGTCCAAACCAACAACGAAAACAACAACAACAACTAAACGAAAAAATTTAAAACTTTTCTATTACAACAATGAATCAATTGGTTGCTATCATTTTCTTTGCTCTTGTTGCCATTTCTACAACAATTAGTGCTACAAATCACGGTGACGGAGGTCAGAGTAAAATTTATCGAAACCAAGATGTGAGTGGAAAATACAATTTTGGTTATGATATCAATGATCCTTGGGGATCATCCAACTACCGACAAGAATCTGGTGATGGTTGGGGTAATGTCCACGGTTCATATGGACTTAAACTTGCCGATGGTCGTCACCGAACTGTTAACTATATTGCCGATAAAAGTGGATTCCGAGTTAAATTGGACTCAAACGAACCATCTGTTGACTCAATCGACTCTGCTGATGCCATTTACAATGGTGCTGATCCTTCTGGTCACAGTTACACTAATATTATCTCAGGAAACAAGGAAACCATTACAATCACCATGATGGTTACAATCATGATGGTCGTCATCATGTTGGCTCATGGAACAATGAAACCAATACCCAAACCAATACAACAATTACAACCAACACCGAAACCAATATCAAAACCAATACCAACATGGTCCATACCACGGACAGAATCACGATTCATGGAATAACAAAGATTCATGGAAACAACAAAACAAACACGACAATTGGGCCAAAAATTAAGTTCCTTTCGTAATAATCTGTCTTCCCCTTCGAAACTCTAATTATTGTCAATCTCCTTCTTCTATCAGGAGCTTAATGTACATTTTATTTATTCCGATTTCTAAACCTCTTCATTGTCTTTTACAAAAGCATCATTAACATGATCTCTGTAACTCAATTGTCCAACAATTCCAATAAAAACACATCCCAAGCACGAGCTTCATTGACCTTTTTTTGCTTCTATCATTTATTCAACATGCAAATCAATTCAAATTTCATTTTTTCTGGTGACAAAATATTTAATGGCTACCAAAGTTCATTACAATTTAATCTCTGAATGTATGCAATCTAATAAAATATAAAAGTGATTACAGTTTGGCGATGACATAATTAATTAAAAGGGTAAAAAATACATTGAGTTTATTATTGGATTGCGAAAATGAGTTGATTTGAAATTTCCTAGGAAACCAAAGTATAAAATGCAAAAATGTCTTCGCTTTTTTCTGTTGTTTTTAGTCGATTAAATGATCAATGAACGGGTTTTAATGGTCTACATGGACGGCAAAGTATTTTCGAGTGTAAAAGATCATTATCAGGAACACAATCACAATGTTGACATTGATTAGGAATTGCGGTTGATGCAACTCGACGAACTAAACCAAGAGACCAAAGTTTCTCCAATCGTTGTTCCAGTGAAATGGCCAATGGACTTGGATAGAAAGCACCATTGCTTATGTGAGCTAAGGAGATACAAATATCTTTGGGAATTGTTATTGATTTTCGTAGGTAAATCTGTTCATCGGAGATTTCAGTTGATCGAATGTCGCTTGCTCGTTGAATTGATCCACTATCAATACCTATTGATGAAGAAATTAGAAATGATTAGTTACTACCGATTAGTTTTATCGATTTGGTTACAATTAACTTACCGAAAATTTCTCGGGTTTTCGATGTGGCATGTTTGGATTCGAATCGTTGATTGGACACAACATGAAGAGTGATTCCTTCGGATAAAAGTAAATGCTGAATATCATTGTAATCAAATCGAGAAGATTTTTCATCACAAGGTTTGCAGGTCAAAAGAACGATGTTTTTGGAAGCTGCTTTTCGGAAGGGATATTGTGATGCTAAAACGATAGCACTTAGAGCATCAGTGTAATTAGCGTCATAAGAATTTGCGGGAGCTAATTCCATCCTTTTGGTTGCCATCATGGTGTCTTGGTGTTTGAACAATAGTTCACCTCGAGCAGTGTGTCCATGAGCTTCACGAGATAAGCCACCAATCCAATTACTCCGAATCGTGGGTCTCTCAAACCGATCTCTTCGAGCTCTTTGTTCATACTTCGAGCTAAATTTGGTAAATCGTTGATCAATTTAGTGTTACATGGTCTCTCTTCAATGACAAATACAACATCAGCTCTTGAAGATTTGATGGTTGGTGAGATATAAGTTCGGCTTCCAAACTCTTGACCAGCTTCACAAGTTAAACATTCAGATGGCATAGTTAACTCGAATCCATTAGCTCGAACTGATTCGATATAAGCTCCAGCAACTGTACAAAGAGCTTTTTCGGGTCTTTCTTGTCCTTTGGTACTCGCCATGTGTCGAAGGCACATCTCGAAGTAAAAACTGGGAGGAACGAATGAAAATCCATCAGCTAAAGGTGATTCTGAAGATGTAAATGTTTTGCTACAAAGTCGATATGCTTTACTTGATCGACGAATCTCATCACGGCGAACTGGTGTTCCTGATGGATTGGCACATGAGCCTTCAATTTCCCAGCCAGAAGCAAAGTTACTGACATCGGTTGCTTGTTTACCATTAGGAAGGAGATAATCGTTTGATGGTTCGTAGTCATAGGTACCAAATAGACCTTTGGTTCGTCCGAAATACCATCCAGAGAGACAATGAACAAAGATCATGACCAAGGAAACACTTAAAAGTTAAACCAGTAGATGAATCTTGAAGAACGATTGATTGATGGTGTCGAAGAATAGTTAATGAACCTTGAACAACAGGAAGTTCGACATTGTTTTTACCAAGTTTGACTCTTTTCTCAGATGGAATGATTTCAATAACAGATTCATCGCCTAAGGTAACTAGAAATGATTTCTTATTCTCGCCAAGGTATTTGACAATCACCGAAAAGCTTCCGTTAATAAAGTCTCTGGCCAACAAGTAGGAACAATCAACAGAGTTTAAATCAAAAGATTTTCCATCAAAAGTGATGAAATGTTGTCCACCCAAAAGAAAAGCAGTTGCTTTGAATGGAGGAGCCATTTCACTCCAAAGAGAAGCTTTCAATCCATTAAGTGAATCATTAAGATCGGATAAAGATTGTTGGGATGATCGAATCGACGATTTAACGGTTCCTACATCGACTGGTGATACGATTTCGGCTTCGTACATTCCCTTGGCTGGATTCCATGTTGTGAAACGAGCTGAAGCTCCCCAGACATCAGGTGATGCCAGATAACGATATTGTGATGCGGAAGATTTAAGAGCTGAGGTATAATCGCCTTTCCTTAATTCTGTCAAAATTTCAACATATAATCCGGTGATAATATCGACCAATGATTTGATATCGGGATTGGACATGATACGATTCTTTAAGCTGGTGTAAACATTTGACATTCTAACTGAAACCGATTTAGCTAATTTACAAGGTAATTTGGCTAATTGGTTTAATTTTTTGCTCATCATTGGAAAATATTGTGATTCAAATAAATTTGATTTGATTGATTGTGAAATACCAGTTATTAAATCATTTGTCCATTTAGAAATTGATGCTTTGATCTTGGGCCAATTTTCAGATAAAATTTCAGTCATATCGTCAACGCGACTTTTGCATGATGAAAATACGTCGAGGGCAAAGTCTTTCATGGAGTTGAGGTCAATTGTTGTATCGATCTTGTTGATTAGTCTATCAAACATTGAAGAAATGTCAATTTTTGGAATGTTGAACGATAGCTTTGGGGCATAATCGCCAACGACTCTTCTCAAAGGTAAAGTGTGTTGATTGATTTCGCTGACAAGTTCAATACTTTCGACAGTAATTGATTTACTGATTGGATCGTAAATGTCCACGAAAATTTGGGAATCAACTAATAAGGTAGATGGTATTCCTTTCCATTGAGGTTTTCGTAAGTTGGTTGAAGGCCAATCAATTGATTTCTTTAAAAGAAAAATATTATTAATAAAACAGTTAAGATGAAGGTTGACAATTTTGACTTACCAATTGTTTTGAATAATTTGGATCCAAGTTCATTGAAGCCTTTAAAACTTTACCGTTTCTCTGAGATAACATCAGTGAAAGGTCAGTTTGGGCTGAAGAATCGTAATTGAATCGTTGACTGTTAATCTTGACCGATTGATATGGTTCGTAACAAGCTTCAATTTTCCTCTTTAAATTGTTATTACAGAAAACTTTAACTGATCCACAATTACCTTCTAATTCACTAGTTAGTTGACCCTTTTTCGTTTTACCATTGATTGTCATCTCACCAATTAGATTGGATGATTTATCATCAGTCAAATATTGAATTCGACTTGAGATATCATTGAAACCGCCATGAGCAATATAAGTCATTTCTTTTGCTTCCATGTCAATGTTGAATAGGTTGAATCCTCGACGATTGACCAAATTATCATCGATCCAGGACCAATTGATTCCAGCTGATGATCGGGTCTTAGTGTAGCCTAAGTGACCTTTTAAAGCAAAGTTCACTTTCGACGATGAACCAGGTTGATAAATGGTTAATGCGATTGACTTGTTGTTCGAGGAAATATTTTCGAGATAACTTTCAATGATCAACGATTGTGAATCAGATTTTCCCAAATCCAAGATGATTCGAGAATCGAATGGTTTTTGTCCATCAGTTGGATCTTTTTTGAATAAAAATGAAACTGAAATTGGTCGATAAAGTGAAGATGAGCCGAATCGAAGTTTGTAATTAACATTAATTATTCCTTTTGATGGGATCGATTGATTGATCCAATCGGCTTCAATAGTAACCTTTGAACTTGGTTCTCTTTTAGCATCAGCCATGAAGTCGATAACAAACTTTGAATCAGTTGATTTGATTCGAGCTTCGATTATTCTTTGGGCCAAGATGATTTTTCCAATCGATTTAGATGAAGTTGTGAGTAGCTCAGCTCCGAAAGGAACACCATTTAAATTCAACAACCCGGAAGCAGTGAAATCGCCAGATTTTGATTTGAAAATGTAAGAACCAGCATAGACGCGAGAATGGGCACCGTTTCGATAAGTTATTTTTGAATCTCGACCCCATTGATTGATAATATCAGTGGCTTGTAGACTGTAACATTGGCTGGCTGGACAAACTTGTAATTCAATTTGGGAAAGAGTTGTAGTTGATTGTAAATTGAGATTAACCTTCAAAGGTCCTTTAGGTCCAGTGTAATCAGCGATGTATTTGATTTCTTCAGATGAAACATCGAAACGATTGAGTCCAAAACGAAGGACATCTGAACCTTTAGAGGAGACAATAAGTTGACCAAGTAATGGTTTACCGTAATCAAGAGTTAATTTGGATGCAAATAGTTCAAGATTATCTTGTGTCAGTGATACTTCATGAGTAATTCCCATGAAAGTTTTCATGTTAGTTTTGAGAGTTCCAATATATCGAGATGTTCGTGGTGATGAAAGAGTAACTTGACCTTCGACTTTTCCTCTTTGTTCAGAAAGAATTACATTAAATGAGCCAATTGTGATGATATCTGAATCAAATGTAACTGATTTTTTGTTTGATCGACTATCAAATTGCCCTTTGACTTTAGAACCATCAAAGACACCAGATAATGGACCATCTAACGAAAGGGACAAAGAACCACCAGAGGATTTCATAGAGTAACTGCTAGAGAATGAGGCTGAATCACCAGATTCTCGAGTGATTTTAAGGTTAGCACTTGATTGTGTTCCTTCAGGAGTCCATGAAAGGTTAATTGTAATACCTTGTTGACGATATTGATTGATCGGTGTTTTAACCAAAAGTTTACCAATAAATGATTTCTCTTTTCGTGAAACTGGTGATTCAGTATTGAGTTTAACTGAATAAGGTGAACCGGAAGAAGGTTGAATTTTAAGTTCACTGGTGATTGATGAGAAAGCATTTTGAGAGTGTTTGAACGATAAATGAAGACCATCGAATGTTGGATAACTTGATTTGGTTCCAATTTCCATTGTAACCGATCCAGAGCCCATGTG